AATTCTGTATCTTATGGTCCCAAAGCTCTTTCTTTAAGAAATGAAGTGCTAATCCTGGTACTCTTGCCAAATTCCAATGCTGGCTGTTACATTCAGCCTGAAGCTGCCATTGGACAAGTTGTTCCTCCATCTCCTTTTTAAATAGTGGGGTTTAGCTATGTTTGGTTAAAGTGATATCTGTATTTCATCCCAGGCTGCATAGTTGTGGCTAATGTTCATCCTCTCACCTGTAGCTTCTAAATTGCTATCTAAACCACTGAAGAGTTCTTCTGGGTAAACCATCCTATATGTATACCGGAAATTAGTATTATGTTGCTTGATAGATTTGCTCTCATTACTGGGTATCTATCTAAGCAGTAAAACATAGATTTATCTTGCCGCCAGTGCAGTTCCCTGCAGTAACAACTTCCTCTGAAGTTCAGTTGAGCAGTGAGTGCACATCTTCTTTAGGATTAAGCCACGTGGTCACATTAAACCAGCACAGCTGGACACAAACTGGTGATTCTGTCGCTTGACACATGTCATCACGGAGTGAATTCCTTGGATTCACACCTTGCTGAGTAGCCACCAAGCCTCTGAGCAGATCTTTGTGGTTTGGGAACAGCATGGCAAAGTGGTGGGCTCTCCCTGGCCTGAGCAAGGAAGCTTAACCATCTGAGACAGGACTACACAGGTTTCCTGAAGATGTCCATCAGGACACCTTAGCTGATGTGCACGCCTTAGCTGATGTTCTCAAGACATGGCACAACTGCGTGCAGAGCCAGCCTGGGGCCTCTGCCATGGAAATGCAGTCATGCCTTTTGGAGTTTCATCAGGACAAATTGGGCTTGGGCTCACCGTGCATAATGGAGGGACTAAAACTAGAAGACAGCATGAATTTGCTTTTGCCAAAAACATCATTATCACTTAAAATACAAGCTGGCTGATCTCCTTTAGGACTCCAGCACAGTCAATAGGAGAGACAAGTATGTGCAGAGAGCAATTCCCTGCCTCCACATGAGGATCTTTCTCTGACTGGCCACCCCAGAAATGTTTGTTTTCCTCCATTTACTGTTAGAGGCACTTTCTAACTTCAAAACCCTTACACATGTGAGGAGGAAAGGACTGTTTGGACACAAGCAGGGGAATATATGCAACTGGGAATGTCTCTTTCAAACCCTCCACATCTGTAAATGCTTACATGCATGTCAGGCACAAGCAAAAGTAATTCTGGAGTATGTTAAGTCGGTGTAAAGAATAATGGCTCCTTACCGTATTTGACCCTGTGGTGGGGCAAATTCTCTTGATATAGCACAGAAGAAAGGAGTTAATTAGGTGCCAGGCTGACTGTGAGCCACAGACTTGGAAGCCTTACACAGCGTGATGTGGCAGGGATGAAAGACAGGCCCTAGGTAAACACAAGTAGGAAGCTTTCATCTGCCAAGCCTCTCCACTGGCCTACCATTAAGGAGGAGAGATGTTTCCCAGATATGAAGGATGGCCCCTCCATGGAAACCTGAGCTCCAGCGGGGGGCTGGGATTAAAGAGGTCACAGGCAGGATCCAGGCTGTCCTAGCAAGGTGGAGGAGCGTTGCTTTCAGCCAGTTGTGGTGAGGTGGGACAGAGGTGCTAAACCTGCCCAGGCCATCCACAACAGCCCACCTCTGCACACTCCACCACTAAGATCAGCAAGAGAAGATGTCATTTCTGCTGCTGAGAGCCCTCAGGGTAGCTTCCATAGACCATTGCCTTTAGTGGCTTTTTCTATACAAAGCCTTAGATGGCTAAATAGATGCACTTATACATAAGCTGTTGGAAAACATTTAGGTCTGAATTTTAAGATAAAACTTTTCTGTGTATGCACATAGACACTCTACACTGATAAAAAGTAGCTTCATATTACAGGGATTCCAAGTGTAAACTGGTAGCTGCTAATATATCTCTTGACATTTAGATTTTCTGTATTATGAGATCTAGAGAAATAATGAGAACGAGTGTATGAATTCTCCTGTATTTCCTGCCAGAATGAATGAGATCCTCTCATGTTTGCCAAGAACACAAAGATCACTTAAAACACAAACTGGCAGATTTCCGATCTGCTTCTACCAAACACGCTGCGTTTCCCAATTTCATAAAAGTGCTTTTTTCCCTAACAGAAGACGGTGATGATAATCATAGCAATCAGTCCAAAATACAAACAGGATGTGGAAGGGGCTGAATCCCAGCTGGACAGGGATGAACACGGCTTACATACTAAATACATCCACAGGATGGTAAGCAAGGACATGCATTTACTGTTTTACAAAGACTCTGTGTCTTCTCAAAAGACAAATATGTCTCCAAATGGCAGGTTCTTTGCTTTGTTTTCCCTAATCCCCGTAGTTAAACACCCCTCTTTGGAATTCATTAATCCTTCCTCTCATCAGCTCCGTATGCTCATTAACATCTGCTAAGAGGTTCAAGGGAGAAAAATCCTATTAAACATGCTCATCTTATTTCTCCATATTCTTTATTGTTCCAGGTTTTTTTCCCTCCTTCACCTTCTTGAGCCTTTGTATAGCCCTGAGAACAATCTTATCTAACAGCGCCTGAACCTTCCTCCCTATAAATCACTCTCTGTTGCTCAGCCATCCCAGAACTGAGGTCTTTTCTCAGACAGCAAGGCTGAAGGAAAGGTGGAATTGCAAAGCAAAGGCCAGAGGTGCAAGGGGGGGGCTCCTGGGAGGTGATAGAGGAGCAGACACCCATCTCCACAGCCTGTCACAGGATGGACATTTAGCCCAGAAGATGCCACAGAGCTGTGAAACTGATCCTTTCTCCCTCGGTTTGCGCGTGCTGCCTTTCTCATCCTATAACCCATCTGGTTCCATAGTTTGGCCCAGCAGTCAAACTTCTCAGAAGCTGTCACCAACAGATGAGCTCTCCAGCAGTATTTTGCTGTCCTTATCACCCCTGGGACGCCTGTGTCCAGGGCCATGGGGAACAGGCTGGGTCCTAGCTTGGACACAGACCTGGCCTCTGGCTGAAGTCTTTCACCCTGTTGGAGACTGAACAGGGGCCTAAGTCAAGTCAAGCTTCATCAGTTAGAGATGGATTTCATGGGATTGCAACTGCAGCTAAACCCATAATTATTTCATACCACAAAACTAAATGTTTAAGAAAGGCTGACAGATCTTTCCTATTTCTGTAGTAATGAAGAATCAGATTAATTGGCCAAAACAAACTGAGTCCACCAGCAAGAGACCAAATCACATAACAGAAGAGCAGTTTAAGTAAGCAACAAATGCTGATACACATAGGGTTCAGATGCATGCAAAGAAAAATTATCATGGCTTTACAATAAAACTGGCATTTTTTTTCTATTCTAGATGCAGATCGAGTTTATACAGCAAGGAAGTATGAACTTCAGATTCATCCCTGTGCTTTTTCCAAATGCCAAAAAGGTAAAATGCATGCATGCTTATAAACTTGTTGCATGATTAAGGACTTCTAATTTTGATCACAATGCACCAGGTGAAATCTTAAAAACTAAAACACTTGATCTCTTGGTTCTTAATATCCCACTAGTAATATTCCAAAGCTCCATTTTACATAAAAAGTTTATAGTTTTACGTACATACAAATAAAAACTATTTCATCCACAGTATAAATCAGCACATAAATGTATTCCTGATGATGAATGTTCAATAAAACTCAAATTGCCTTTAGCACTGAAAGAATTTAAATGGAGAGAGACAATCTATCCAGGAAGCCTGCTTCTTTTTATATTAACCCTTTTATAATTTTGTCCAGATGTAATGCCGATGAGTGAGATGGGCAAGATTTATGACTGGTGTGAAGTGAGGATCTGGAAGAGGGTGTGTTGAGAATATAAAAATAAAGAGTATAATAAATATTAAAGTACTAGGCTGCTCTTGAACTTGGATGGGCCCATCAAAGGCAAAATATAAGATTTTTTAGGACTTGCAATTTCATCTGCCCTCCTTACTTGTTTTGAAGATCCATTTGAGAATAAGAAATAAGTAATGCAGCAGATTCTACCTGAGAGAATCTCTTGAATTTTTACAAGGCCAGAAAACTTAAATGACTTCAGTTATAGCTGAGAAATAGCATTCTTCCCCAATCTCATGCATTGTATTCATGTTCACTTTTCCTAACTAAATGCTGTGTGCACTGTTGGGTAGCTGTCATGTTACCCCTAGGTAGGTATGGCTGCATTTTGGAAAAGTATGGAAAAAGTGTTTATATTTCCTTGTGTGACCAGATTTTGGAACATGAGTCAAAATTTAAACAATATTATCAGTGATTATAGGTCTGTGAAGTCCCACCGCACTTCTGGATTTTAGTGTAATAAAATTATTTAGGCACCAATTTAAGCTCGGAAATTTGAAAATACATCCCTGGGTTTGTAAAATATGTGAGGTCCTTTGGAATGAACAGTACCTCTGGTATTTCATGTAATTCAGATTCCTTCCTGAATGGTCTCAGTCTGGTACTTACCTTCAGTGTGAAAAGCCAGGAGACAGCACCAGTGGGAATTGTGCAGATCAAAGGCAGGGAACCAGTCAGCATTTTCAGTCTGTCTTTGCAGCTTGATCGGGGGCAAAAGGGCAGGATGGCTCCTAACCTTGGGGCTACTTGAGTGCCCACCACATGAACAGACCCTACACCCTGGTTGCAGAGAGAAGTGTCCCAGGAGGCACTGTAGCTGCCTTTGGGGTTTGAGACAGAACAATAAGTTATGTTAATTTTGGCTGAACATTAGTTATTGGAAGACTGTTTAGCATATAGCAGTGATTCTGTCAGACAGAGATCTATAAGGAATTTCCAAGGTTGGTTTATCCAGCTGCCTCTACCAAAGCAACAGGCTCCAGGCCTCCTTCCTGCCTATCCTCTGTTGTCCACATCACTATTGAGTTTTTTGAGAGGTGCCTTTCTCATTACATTATGCAGATCAGCATTTTCTACTGCCGTTAAACTTTGCTCTCTTTCTCCACATATTTCTTTGTTACATCACCTACCTTCATCCAGCTAGTTAATGATAATGTAACTGAGGACATCATGGGTGGAAGGAGAGCACCAGAGCCTGAACAAGCTGCAGTAATTAAGGTGGAACTGGGATTTCCAGCTTCCCATCGTACACTGCCAAAGGAGGCATGGGTCTTGCTGGTTCAAGGTCTGCATTGCAGCAATCTACAGAAATGTGTCTTCATCCGGCCACTTGATGACCAGAGCATTAAGCCGTGATTGCCCCATGCTAGAGGCTCCCTCTGGCAGAGTGGAAGCAGCTGGAGGGGTGAGATGAGCAGGGTTGGTGCCAGGAAAGCCAGGAGATCTCAAACCACGCTCTGCTGTCATAGCCCTAAACAGTCCTGCCTTCTGCATTAATACACTCTGTCCTCTTCCTACCAGCTTGATCCTCAGAGTTACAAATACTTTCTCTATGACATAGAGAGAATTTCCTTTCAGCTTACAGATACACAGCCAAAAATTTAAAAGGACAGTAAATGATTTTCCCATTACTCCCACCTGTAATGACAGGTGACATATGGCAAGGAAAAGCCCCTTTTTCACTCTGCCTGCTCCCCTGGATAAAAATAACAGCTATAGTTACCCCTTTACCCCTACACACCTCCCTCAAGTTAAATTTACTGAATAATGTGCAGGTGCTTTTTGCACTGGCTTATTATGGAGGATATTAAACAAAACTACACGAGCAGTTCTGGAAGAAATGTGCAGTGTCTGTCTCTGGATGTATAGTGCCTCTCTCATTATATCCTCACTTGCTGTTTTCTTACCTACTACATATTTCCCACACTAATTTCCATCTTAACTAGTGATTTCCCATATGGACCTACATCAAATGCTTTTCTGAAGTCCAGACCAACTATGTCTAATGCATTTCCTTCCTTGAAAAAATGTAGTTTCTTATCAAAGACAGAGAGAGGGCTCTTTGGTAAATGCTTGCTGTATTTCACTGCATTTCCTTCTATAGCTCTTAACAAGATTTAGTAAAGAAACAAATTTCATGTAACAATGGTATGCACACGCATGCAAACATAGTCATCTTTTGTTCTCCCAGTAACATTTGAATCTCTTGGCCGATTCCAAGCAGCTTTGTCAAAGGAGTACAGTTCATAAAGACTAAAATCCATTCCTATGCAAAAAAACCCTAGCAAGTGGAGGCAAGAAATCTTATTTGTGCTCCTAACAAAGGGAATGTTGTGGGATCTTGCCTCACACTGAGGTGTCCACCTAGTTTAAAACCTGCACTTCAGGGAGAGCACTGACCAAAGCCCATACTTTCTTGAACACTGGAGGAAGAGGAAGGTCAGGCTTGATAGATACCTCTGCCACTCATGCAGTTGCTTGTTCAGAGGCCTAGGTGAGTTCAGACTAATGGGTGTGTAGGTGCCCGTGTGACTTGCCTCCTTCTTCCTATACATAAATGCTACAGATCTGGCAAAGTGGTTGCAACAATTAACACAAACCGCTCTCTGAGCCAGGAAAGCGATGCAGCTTCATTCCTACAGCTGTACAGGCCAAGGAAAAGACAGCCAATTTGAGAAGCACGATGCTTGGGAATGAAAGATTTGGACTGCAGCTAGATTGTTTGCTGGCAGGCAGGACATGTGCTGCCCATGCCAGGGCATCCCCTGGCAAAGTGCCACAGATGTGGTCCACACCAGCAGCTTTTTGCTCTGTCCCCTCAGAGCCAGCTCCACTGCCTTGACAGGGACTGTGCCGTTCCTAACGGGAGCCACCTTGGAAAAACACTGCCTTGCTAAATGAGAGGTCCAGGGAGCAAGTGCTGGATGTCCTGGATGCTCATGTTGCTTATCTGCTCCCTCACATTGGCTGTGTTCTGGTGTCTCCAACTTCAGCTCTCCAAAAGAAATCTACATCTCATGGTGACCATGAGCTGCTTTTAGTCAAGGATCAGTCCCTCTGTTAATCAATGGTATCATAATAGCCCTTCACCCCTAAACATTCAGGGTGTCCATATGGAAACCTCCCAAGGCTGTGGAAACGTGCAAACATGAAGTCTGAGCGGGTTTCTCTCCATAAGCCCGCTATCACTCTCCAGGGCCATGGTGGTCCCAGCTTCATTGTGTTAATGGACATTAGCCAACCCCTATGAAAGACTGCACCTTTCCCAGGATGCAAGGAGCGGTGGAGGTTTGACCCTGCTAATCTGGAGATGCATTAGTCTCTCCTCAAGCTCAGCATTGGCCTCAACCTCCTGCTCAGGAGGTGGTCAGAGGACACCATGCTTGGTGAAGGAAGGTGCAAGGGGAGGGCGAGAGGGCTACCAAGATGAGAAATGCCCCCGTGGTGTCCCACTCTTTCCCTATTGATTCTCATTGCAAGGTTGAACATGTTGTGTGGATCCTTTAGCAGCTACTAAGGTGGCAGCCTTTCCCTGCACAGGACACTGAAATGTCTTCCTTCTCTTCTCAATGTTTATTTTCACAAGCCTTTCAATGCCTGTCACTGAGATCAGACTTCATTTGAAATGTGGTGAAATTAGCCAACATGATGGCAGAAGAGAAAGAGAGACAGGCAAGCTGTGAGATCACACAAAGTTCATTTATTTAGGAACCCAAATACAATTCTGAAGCCAAATTAAAATTTCTTGTTGTTACATGAAGTGCCTAGAACAGACAAAATGAAATCTTGCTTGGCAGAGTCTGACAGAATCTGCAAGGTTCTGGTACAGATTCAGGAGGATTTACAGGATTTAGTGTTTATTTTCCTTGTTTTTTTCAGGAACACGTGCCTACCTGGCTGCAGAACACCCACATTTATAACTGGCCAAAGAATAAGAAGAACATCCTTTTGCGGTTACTGCGGGAGGAGGAGTACGTTGCTCCTCCAATAGGCCCTTTACCAACACTCCAGGTTGTGCCGTTATGAACATTACAACTTAAAGTGCATGTCGAGTGGTTGCTAAAGGGTTGTTCCTGGCAGGGAGCCAACGCTCTTCCAGATGGCTCTTTTTGATGACAGAAGACACTCTTTCTGCTAAAGGAATTGGTTGTCTTGGGTTACGCAGGCTCAGCTTGTTCTCTACCATGTTAAACAACTATCTCCAAAGCTGATGGGGCAGAACTCTTTTCTCTAGAATTTTAAATAAGCTGCAAATGGAAAGAATGCCCAGTTTTATTTTAACATCTGTTTTTAACATATTCCTTTATTAGTCATAATAGCAAACAAATACCAGAAATTATGTTGCAATAAGAGTAAAATAAAAATTACATTCTCCTTTTTGCTCAGGGTTTCTTTAAAGATATTCCTGCCTTGTATAGCACTATCAAACCATTAATTTGTATATACACTATTAAATATTTGCCTTTTGTAAGGCACCTTATATATTGTGTCTGCTTTTATTATTGCTGGGAACGAGGGAGAAATGGGTTGGGCAATGCAAGTTTTCCTTAGCCTCTCTTGCATAGAGACACTTGTCTTCAATTAGAGGACTTTCAGATCTGAAATCTCTGGAATTCCCTTTCCTTACGGCTGGGTCCCTCACACCTGCAGCATGTTGCAGCAGTAGTCCAGAACAGGAGACCTAAATGCATGGCTACGTGTGTGCTGTCAGTGCCATGGAACACTGCAGTATTTTTTGTAGCAGCCCTTTGGGTTAATTACTGCTTTTCAGCCCTTATTTAAAACAGACCATGTCAAAAGGACAATTGACACTTGGAAAGGCTGGCACTTGGAAAGCCAGCAATTATTAAGAGAAAGAACATTGACTCCTACAACTGGTATGCAGTACAGAACAATAAAATAATCAAAGATGGAGAGCCACGGAGTGTTGGCAACCAGGAAGGCTCAAAAACATCACGTCTGCTAAAATTTGAACGTTTTTTTTACAGAGCACATAACCATGACTTTGGTGAGGAGTCTTGGTTTTTTAAACAGCCTTAACCTTCCTGAATTAACAGTGGGCACTACTGGCTTGAAATTTGGCAGCCCTTATTCTATAGAGCAGTCGCACAATAATGTCTTGCTCTGACACCAGGGCATTTCATGCCTGCTCAATGCAGGCTCTCACCAAGATCCTCCTCAGCTTTATTATTTGTCACAGAACGACCCAAACACAGCTTTATAAAAAGGTAGATGTATTCAGTAGTCTGAGAAGTAAATTAGCCCAGAGGTTTATATTCCTCTTACAGTATCCAAATTATTTAATTAGCTTTCCATGAAGATGATGCCAGCGTGGTGTGTTGATGCAGGACGTGCCTTGTGGTGCTCATGAAGGAGAAATTTAAACTCAGACCTTCCTTTAGCATAAAGGCATTTCCTTTTGCATAAAGAGTTGCAGCCATTTAAGAGAACTGATAGAAGGGTGCATTCAGTGTTGTCTATTCCTATAATTTTGGTTGTGGTATTGTCTGTGCTTCATACAACTCCAGTTTCAAAAGGAAAGCTCAACAACTGAAATAGGCTTGTGCCTGCCATGCCAGTAGCTTCCTGACAAAGCACAGTAAAACTATGTTAGGTGGTGGTACTTCTTGGCATCTACTTGCATTGTGGGGAGGGGAGGTCTGTTTTTCCTGTGATAAATTGAAAAACTAAGTTTCCAATTAAGAAAATAACTTTTTAGTTTACAGTGAGAAGCCTAAAGTCGTGACAGGAATCCATCTCAAATGGTCAACAAAATGAAGACAAACAGGAGTGGGATGTGCATACCTGACCATCAGCATTTGGGGTTACCTGGAGTGCCCTGTAGCATCGAGCTCAGCCTCCAGGTTGAGCAAATCTCCTGAAAGGCTACAGCATATCTGCCAACTCAGTATGGCTGTCTCTGGTATTTTAAGGTATCTGAAACATTTTAACGCTGTGAACTAGTCTGTCTGAAATGGCTTCTGCATCCATTAGCCAATTTCTGCCACATTTAGCAGGGAGAGCTCAAATACACTAAGTGCCTACGGGTTTCATGTTAATAATTACCTGAGCAAAGAGCAACCCCCGAACCCACATGCTGTGGAGGGAGAGGCAGCAGAGGTTCGGGCCTGCAGAGGTCTCTTCCCAGAGGTGGGCAGCTGGCCATCCAGCACTCACAGCAGGCACAGCTGGCCACCCTGCCCCTGGACAGGGCTGGCAGTGTGCTGGGAGGTTTTTCCAGGTGCACGGCCTGGACAAGGCTGGAGGAGAGCGATGTGTAGGGAATGAGGCTGTATCGGTTTTGCTGCTTGCAAAGCAACATATTAGGGAGCCCAGTTAAGCATTCAAAATGATTATTAGCGAGGCTGGGTAGTAAATTCCTTTCATCGTTTTGGCTGTCATCCGAAAATATGTGCTCTGGATTTACCACAGATTTGCTTGGTTTGGGCCAGGGAATTTCATTAAGTAACTCCTGCATCATGTGATACACAAGGTTACATTAAATGGTCCAGTGATTATTTCTATTCTTCTGTTTCAACGATCCTTTTCTGAGAAACAATGCAAGCAGAGTGAGGAAGAAAAACTATGCTTTGGTGTTTAGGAAGTACAAAGAGCCCAATCTATTTAACTGCTGGGTATTTTTTTTTTCTTTTTTTAATCAAATAACAATTCCCGGGATTCATTGATCTTTACATTAGTTAGAGCATCCTACAAGGACAGAAACCATGATGGGGAGAGTGTGAGTAATGAGCTACCAGCCTAGTGAATCATTTCCCCTAAAGCTTTGTATTTGTAGAGAGACAGATGGTGGGAGCTGTGAAGAGGGAGGGGGAGGAGAAAAGCTGGTTTTTGCAAACAGCAAAAGTATAAAGGACAGAGAGAAAAAAAGATAAATAATCAGCAGGTAAGGGAGAAGAAGAGACTGAGAATACACTGGCTGTTTCAAAACTAACATGTTAATGTTACAGTGGATTAGGGTCAAGGGAAAATAGAGGAAGGAAATTGCAGAAAACAAGAGCTTTGTGGCTGAGAGGGGAAAAATTTACCAAGAGCAGCCTTAAATATGTATTTGTAGATGAAGTCTTGAGTCAGTTATTAACTTTATGTGCAAATAATGGAGAAGTAGCTGAAAGTATGCAAGATTCTGTTGTGCAGGTTGGCAGTGCTGCTGCCCAGCTGGAGCTGCCAAGCTGTAGGTACCCACAGAGGCAAAAGGCATGGCTTGGACAGTGGCAACAGCACCAGGGATTTCTCTCACAGAACCTGAATATTTGCAAAGGGTGTGTGGGAGAGGAAATCCACTGTCCCTAATGTGGAAAATAAGAAGCAAAGCAAGAGAGTTACATACTCAACACAGGGATGAGTGCAGCATTAAGACAGAGATAAGATGGCTGAGAGACATCCTGCTTTATAGCCTTGGCAAAACTCAGATGATATTAATGCATGTAAAGAATGTTTTATGCAAGTCACCTGCATAACAAAAATATGGTTGTAAAATTTTATCCCGCAGTTAAGTTAGATTGTCCTCTCCAGCAAAGGAAGTGTAGAGTGGTTCTAGTACAAAGTTAATTCAATAAAGCCTTGTACACAAGACAAGTAATGCTGCCCTAAGAGCCCATTTTCTTGTGGTAGGCTCTTAACTGTCATCATTTGATGCTATTTAAGAAAATAAATCAGCAGATTTCCCTGCAGCCTCTCTGAGACCAGCAGCAAGGCAGATAACAAAGCTGGCTCCTTAGAGCAGCCCCACCAAAGGGTGCTTTGCTGAATTTCTTTCCCTCACCTCCCGCCACTGACCAGGCTGCAGGTACTGGAGACCTGGGCATATTAATAACAGCATCGGTTCAGGCAGCAAACTTGGGCAGTGTGGTCAAGAAAGCTCCCCAGTGAGATGTACTGATGGAGAAAAAGGAGCAATTAGCACCCATTAGCAGGCTTCTGGGTTGTCAGATTGGAGGCGCTGGTAAAGCTGAGGGAGGTCCTTGGTCTTACAAAGGAAGGGGAGAAGGGAGGGGAGAATTGGGAGCTGTGTGGCCTTGCAGTGCGAAAGGTCTACTGTGGTAATGAAGTAAAACATGTCTCGGCGAGTTTCCTCACCCTCAGCACACAGAACAGGTACACCTTATCTTCCAAAGCAAACACCTCTCCTCTTACACTTTGGCTTTAATTTAACAGGTTCCTCCGTGCCCACACCTGCAGCAGTCTGCTATTGTTTAACCCGTGTTTGGGAAACAGATCCCGCTGGAAGGTCACAGCTTTTGCCAGCCTCCTCCTCCTCCATCATCCTTTATGACGATGGTGCTGGAGGGAAGCACTGCCACAACACTGGTTTGCAGTATCGATGGGCTGGCACTGCTCCTTCTCCCTGATCCCCAACAGAGGTCTTACGAAGTTCAAGGGTGGCACACAGTATATCAGTATCACTAGAAATGTCCACTGGGTCATTTCTCCTTGAGCTGCGCCAATAGCTCCTCACACTCCCCAGCATGGCTCTGAGCACTGCATGCCACTGCACAGATCCATCCAAACTGGGAAAAAATGCCACCAAAAGCAAAGGTGTGAGTTTTTTAAACATTTTCTCTACATTGAAAGGTATCAAGGACTTCACCAATTTCCAGAGGGTGAGAGGGCAAGTGCCTGCTTGCCCACTGAACCCTTGGGTAAGGGGAGCTTCATAGCAACCTCTGCAGCCACCAAGTCCATGGGGCTAATGGACAGATCCAGGGAATCTCCGGTGAAACACGAATGAACCCAGCGGATGTAAATTCCTGCAGGGCTGACTGTTGAAGAAGGGGGATCTGCCAGGGAGAAGACAACTTCCCAGTACCTAGTTGCTGGTTGGGCAGGTGAAGTCCTCTCTGTTTGACTAGTACCAGTCTTCTAAGAAAAGGGAAATACATGCTGCGGGAAAGCTCCAGAGAACCACAAAAGTTTGGGTTTTCTGGGACTGCAGAAAAAGGTACTGTAATGGCAGATGCTAGAAAAAAACCCAACTACTAAAAAAAAAAAAATCATGACCAGCACCACCTGCAGTGAGCTCTTTCTGACTGAATTTCATTCTTCGGATTTTCCACTTTTTTTTTCTAAAGAAGTATACTCTGGAAATACTATCTTGGAGGTTTTATTCAAAGCTACCTTCCTTTACTTGGGCTGACAGTCCTTACAACATGTCTGTTCTGTTTTTCATCAGCTACACCCAATGAAAGTCTGGTAAATGCGATGCTTTGTGACTGGCATGTCAGGCACTGCAAGTGCCAGCCCCGGGATTTCCAGCAAGGAGCAGGTGCTGCAGTCCACTCTTAAAAACCCTGCAGTCTTCAAAAGAAGAAATTCAGTGAGAAAGACTTCTAAACAGATAACATAACTGGGGATTGAGTGGAATGGCCCAGGAGCGGTGAATGCATTAAAGAATCTTTCATCTTTAAGCTGGGAGGGGGAATTTAGCCCGGCTTGGCACTGACCTAACCTAGTCTGGTTAGTATCTGGTAGTATCCATTCTCAGTGGGCGTTGTGTGCACCCCACACATGTGCACATGCACGCAGCCAGATGCATCCACCAGAGCCTTTCTCCCAGATCTTCCCTCCTAGCAGGCTGTACAGAGACACTGAGATCCAGCCTCAGCACGACACAGGCACTGATGGTTCCTGAATGCCAAGCAAACAGCACGCAGTGGACAACTGACCATTTCTCTTTACAGCAGACTAAAAATATCCCTACCAACAATGATTCCAGATGCTCAGTACTGGCTTTCCCCATGCACAGAGCATTTGGAACATTTGGAAAACAGAAGTTTTGTTCTCCACCTTACTACTGCATTGCTGCAGACAGCAGAAAGTTACCCACTCACTCTGCTTCAGCTTCCTTACCTAAGGAGCTGAGACATAGCAAAGTGGCTGCTTAGGTAAGGTTGTTGAAGACTTACTGATTAAAGAACTACATACGTACAAAAAAAATTTATTTTTATGGGTCCATTCTTCTCCCAGCCTTACAAGATACAGTTTTTTTCTTGAAGCTCCAGCTGTGTGGAAGCTGAAACGGCAAAAAGCCAGCAGTAAGACTGTCCCAAAAGAAAGATGAAGGGGGGGCTCTTTAAATAGGCACAAAATAGCAACTGAGAAGACAGAGTACAATAAAGAAGTGAGATAAGAGGAAGGGAATTATACTGTAATAAAACTGACTGAAGTAGCAAAACTAGTAGGCTAGCATAAATTCATCTCTTTTGGTGTCATGCTTTATTTTAAATGAGGTAAAATAATTTAGCATTTACTATTTTTAAAATGAAGAGAGAAAAGATAGAAAAACAGTATTTTCCTCCAGGCTTTTTAACTTACTATTTGGAAACCAACCTACTGAAGCATCACAGTCCCTCCCGAGGACACAGCCTTACTGATGACAATTTGATATATCGGTATATCAGCAGTCAAGAGATGGACAGCTGTATCAAGACCAGACAGACAGGTACACAGTACATGGAAAACAAAGAGGTTTCCTCTAACACAGTGAATGAAAACAGCACATCTCAAATCCTCACATCTGTTGACTGATGTAGCCAAGACTCTTTGCTCACTCCAGGCTGGAGTTAATTACTCCCACAAGAAATTAACAGGTTGAATTTTAAAGCTCTGGGCTGCATGGACATCAGCATTAAAAAGACAGGGTTCACTGTTCTCTCAAAGCAGTGCCCACACAATGGTGTCAATTTTGTGACTTGCTTTACTGGAGCTATACTAGAGAAAATGCATCATACCCATCAAACAAGCATAGGGTTTTTCTGTTGACCATATTTCTCAGTTCTGCATACTTCCCTGGTTTTGATGTCTTACAGAGTATCTTGTTTTGAACTGCCCAATGCTCTTTGCCCTAAGAGCAATTTTCAGTATTAAAAAAATGTTAATCTGGAGGCCCACACCAGACTCAGCCTGTGCAACCCTACACAAAATCAGTTTGGGTTTGGTATATACTGCCTGTACTGTCCTCACATTTTGTGGAGTTTGGAAGGTAAAAGAAGAGGTGTAGCGGAGCAGCATTATCATATGGAGACGATGGTAGGGTGGTGCTTGGGAAAATTATCCAGGGCATTTCTACATTAGACTGGCCCAAAGCCTAAAGTTGTGGTGATATCCGAACTAGTCTTCAGAAGGTTGCAAGAAGACAAGCCTTTATGAGACACTACCTGTGAAACAGCATTGGTGAAAAAATACAGTGAGTGCCAGAAAATCTGGTGTCAAATTGCATGTGACAGAGCTCAGTAAAACTAATGCCCTGACCTACCTGCTCCCTACAGCCAGAACATTTCTTAGGTACATCACAGGGAAATGCACTTTTTCCTACCAGACGTACGGTGTACAAATACAAGTTGCAAACAGCATGTCTGCGAGCTCTGAGCTTGTCAGACAACTCTCAGTGTCTCAAAACCTTAGTGCAAGTTGGATTTAGCAGGCTTTCAAGGTATTTTGCATCAGCTCAGTTATCAGCTCCGACTATCACACAGTGCTATCACCCAGCTAAAAACATGGTTTCAGTTCTGATTTCTCTTTTTTCTCACATGCTTCCACTAGGAAACCTCTAACCAAACGGAGAAAATAATTTTTCATGTTGTCTGTTGTCTGTTTTACAACATTACAACCAGATATGTAGATAGCTGCCTCATGCCTAACACTGAATACCAGAAGGCTGTTCTTACGAAGAGCTTACAGTCTGACTCTAGCTGGGATTTGAGTGGCTAACTAAAATCCTTTGCAAATTATCTGTCACTTCTTTGTAAGACCTGCTTCCTTTCTTTATGTCTGAATTCGGACTGGGGATAATGAACTTCCTGTATCATAGACCCGGATACAAGGAAACTCATTGTACACTCACCAAGGAAGAGTATATCACTAAGTAGCTTATAAGGCAGCTCTGAAGGGTCTTGTTAGAATGACTTATTCTCCAAGTTTCAGTGGTTTGATTGAGTGGATCATGTGATAAACACTTATAATGAACGTCTTCAGATGCTGCCAGGGAAAGCCCAGCAGATAAAATGCTGAATCCCACGGCATTGCTCTCTGCATAACAAACTGATTACAAAGACGGAAAAATCATGCAATTCACTGGCTTCTTCTCCCACTCAGGACAGCACAACAGTGTTATACAATTTTCTCTCTGCTGCCCCAAATTAAAGTCTCCTTGCTACTCAATCCAGTTCAAACTAGTGCAGTTTTTCTCCTACAACCGACAAGGCAGATTACAGCTAAATGTAACTACATGTGAGCAAGCCTAGTCAAGCTTCTGAGTGATTCCTTTCTTATTAAAGAAAACAAAATAATACAAACAAGCATGTCTGTGTTGGAACTAGATGGTCTTTCGGGCTCCTTCCAACCCCAACCCCCAACCCCAACCATTCTATGATCCTATATGAAAAGAAAAACCCAATTAAACAAGCACTGAGCATAAACTCGCAAGTCACATGTGCTAAATTTGGTTTATTTAAAAATGTCAGGAAATGTCCAAGTGCATCCCTTGCAGTTTTTTCCAGCCCAGTACCTGTAGCACCAATGACCAGGGATATATATATCGGCATCTGCTCTGCTCTCCCCTCAGCCTCAGTTAGCAGCTTGTTGTTCCTCCTTCTTGGCAGCACAGCCTCTCCCCTTTACCCCCCTCTCCTAAGTTGTTCCTGCCTAACAAGCTACAGTGTCTCCACAAAAGGCATCCTGGCTCTGGCATGAAGCATGGGATGTATGTATCTGTCCCTGCCTTGTCACTCAGCATAAATTACAGCACTGCTTCTTCAAGGCCAGTGCTATATCCCTGACTCAGGTG